TGGTCTTGTGATTTGGTAAATCTTTTTGTCAAATATATACATATTAGAAAATCGAAAAAACTCAATTTTTTTAAAAAGTAAAAAAGGGCTGTTTTAATTGATAACGCCCCATATACTAATTAAACCATGTAACAATAATGTTATTTTCTTCAATTCACTATGAAAAGATTCCAAAAGATTCATAGATATAACCTGTAAAAGCAAAGGAGAGTTTTGATGAGCCCACAAACCCCATTGCTATGTATTATTTATATAGTTCCTTTTAATATATTTTTTTATAGCTTGCATATAGCAACAACTAATAGCATCCTGAATAAGGCTTTCACAGCTAACCTTTGTTCATTTGTGCATTGCCACGATCATGATGTCACTGATTTCTTTTTCATATATTCATTGCATCCACATTCTCAAAACTTGAACAATACAAAAAATAATTTGGCATTCTTGCTCACCAGCAGTTATACTAGGAAAAGTTTTTTAATACCTTTAACCTCAATGCTGCTCTAATCTAAAAGCATATAACAGGGAGACCAATGACAGCACTTCTTACAAACTATTAACAGTGCTTCAGCAACTGTGTCACTATCTTCATTACTCACAAAAAAGTGAGCTCCTACATTCTAGCAACCATAAGTATCACAAATATAAAGCATAAACAGATACTAGTCATACTAATTGGTCTTGTGGTTGAGTCAATTAATGTTAACCACTCATGTCTTTTAAGTTTTTTTAGTTAATCTAGATGCACAAACACAATACCCTTAGTAGATCATTGAGAAATGAAATATATTCAACAAGATAATCTTTTTCTATCAAATAAGATTTAGATTCTGATATATCTAACTTTAAATTTGAATTTCCAATAAGGTAAGCTTCTATTGGTTCATGAACATTGTATTTAATATTTGTTACTTCTTTGTGTGTCAGCTCATATACACTTGTGCTGAGGCCTAATTTATCTGTTGCGTATTCTTTAACTGACAATGTAATTGCAGAAGAAGGATAGTTTTTGACTGCTTCATTTTTAACTAAATCTTGGATAACCTTTAACCTCTTTATCCTATTGCTCTCTAATAAAGAGTTCGCATGGTCGGGAGAGTTATTATATCGTTTAATCTGGACTATATTTGAAGCCACTAATCAAGAAACTTCAATTTTTGCATAACACAAGCCAGATAGCCATGTCTTTGTCACTTTACATTTTTCATTTAGAATATTTTCATTTTCTCAGAAACTTGATTCATGATGCTTAGTAAAGTGGCAGGTAAAAATTTTTTGAATATTGCCATTTACATATTCGTAAAAACCTCATTGTGTCCAAATATTAGAGACTACTAGCTACAAGTTGTTATTAAATTCTTCACTTTGTATTTCCAAAAGACTATTTATATCAAAAATATAATTGCATTTTTTATCCAGTATAAGCAATGCTAATATTAAAACCAAAGAAGCGATGGCACAAGGTGTGGGCATGGTGATAAACATGGCACCAGAAAGAGCTACAGATGTAGTATCTAAAGAGACAAAAGACATGACACCTGAGAGAGCAGAAGATGTAACACCAGAAGGAGTAGCTAACATGACACCCAAGGGAGAAACAGACATAACTGAAAGATAAAATTTATGTAGGTTTTTTTTTTTTTTTTCTGTTTCCTTTTTTCTCCTTGTAAGTTTCTTAGTACACTGATAAAAAAAGTGAACATTAATACTATTAAACATTATAAAAAGCAAAAACTAGGGATAAAATTTACATACGAAGATTGTAAACCTCCAAAGTTATATTATTTACAAAATCTAGTAAATTGTGTAGAAAAACAATCTACGCTATAGTATTTAGTGATTAAAAAGAAAAAAAAAAAAAAATCAAAGTCGGGTCATCAAAACTAGTCCAATATTAATTTATTAGTTTATTACAAGGAAAAAAAAACCTACAATAAAAACAAAAAAAAAAACACATAAATATTTCATTATAAGAAAAAAAAAAAAAAGAAAAATCGTGCCTTTTACAAAGATTAAAAAAATTTTTTTTGCGATAATAAATCAAATGTGTGATAATGCAACGATGACATCTAAAGCCTTGTATTACTCTTGGCCAATCACAGTTATAGCATATATCATATGATTTATCTCTGCTTTAGACGCTCCCTTAATATATAATCTGAATGATTGTCAGATCTGTAATTATTGCAACATTCTTGATATGTAATCTGCATGATTATCAGATCTGTAATTATTGCGATATTCTTGATATGTAATCTGCCTAATTGTTAGATTTGTAATTATTGCAACATTTTTCTAAACCATCTAATTTGAGTTTGTCTGTTTAAATATTCTTGATTGAAATTGATATATATACCAGTAAGTAGTTTTTATGATATTCTCAATAACTATAACTAAAATTTTTAATTTCTATAATTTCTAAAATTTTGATCTGATTCTGAAAATAAAATTAAAACTCTAAGTTTTTGATTTGTAGCACTTTAAAGTTAATATTCACCAATACTGTACAAACTAATGCTTGAAATGAGCAAGTTTTGTAGTAGGATTACTTATAACATTAACTTATTGTAGAATTTATAAATTCTAATTCAACCACATACCAGAATAGCAAGTTTTTATAGTAAAAGCCATGATAATTCTAATATGGACTAACTTTAATTATATACTGCAGTTATCTATTTTTTAAATTCGATATTTGCCAATACAAATTAACTCTAAAGAAAAATAAATATTGTATCAAAATTTTTTTACAGTAACTCATAGTAGAAGTTATAATAATTCCAATTCAATCTTAAACATATACCAGAATAGTAAGTAAGTTTTTATAACTAAAGCAATAATAATTCTAATACAAACTAACTTAATTTTAATCATATTCAATAGCTACTAAAATAGCAGATGAGCTTTGTAACAAAATTTTTTACAGCAAAAATTATGATAATTTTGTTACAAACACATTTATAACCTTTATATGTACTGCATTAGCAATAGGTAATTGGTGCAAGTGGCATACTACTAGTACAATATTATAATTTTATATATATTTAATGCTGAAAAGTTTATTGGCTTGAGCTGGCTTGTATATTTAGTTTTAAAAGCCGATTACAGAAATTATAAATAGGTAATAAGCCATTAACATATCTCAAATA